GCACATAACTGGTTCCATAACATATATCCAGTAGATCTGCACATAACTGGTTCCATAACATAATATATCCAGTAGATCTGCACATAACTGGTTCCATAACATATATCCAGTAGATCTGCACATAACTGGTTCCATAACATAATATATCCAGTAGATCTGCACATAACTGGTTCCATAACATACTATATCCAGTAGATCTGCACATAGCTGGTTCCATAACATGTATCCAGTAGATCTGCACATAGCTGGTTCCATAACATATATCCAGTAGATCTGCACATAACTGGTTCCATAACATAATATATCCAGTAGATCTGCACATAGCTGGTTCCATAACATACTATAACCAGCTGATTTGTACACGACTAGTTCTAAAACATACCATAACCACCAGGTTTCTATATGACTGGTTTCGTAACATACTAAAACTAGTAGATCTACACATAACTGGTTTCAAAACGTACTATAACCAGCTGATTTGTACATGGCTGATTTAATAATACGCCAGAGTGTTTTGGCTTGAGCATGACTGGTTGAAAAAACATGGTAGAGCTGACTTACCGTTATGTAATTGCTTTATAGAATATTGTTTCATTAATATACTAAAGCAGTCTGATCTGTACGTGACTGGTTCAGTAACAAACAGGAACCAGTTGCACTTTTTGATGTGTAATAAAAATTCCTACTGTACAAGGATTTCCTCATGTTTATTCTGACAAAAACGTTTCACGATTAACGCCTTTTTGGGCACAAACATTTCACACTTATCGTGTATTCTGACGCAAACATTTCACACTTATCGTGTATTCTGGACAAGCATGCACTACTTTTCAACAAATACTTTGGTACAAATATATTATACATTCTACTTTATATTTTAACATAAGCATATCAGACTTTCTATTGTTTATTCTGACACAAATATATCAGAAATACCATTGTGTATTTTGACGCAAACATTTCAAACTTATCGTGTATTCTAACACAAACATTTCACACTTTCGTTCGTGCTTTCTTGCACAGGAATTTCCCACTTTTCTATCGTGTATTCTGTCAAAATATTTTTTGTCGTAATTATTCTGTCACAAAGATTTCAGGCTTTTTTTCGCACATAGGCGTCAGACTTTCTACCATGTATTCTTACAGAAGTGTGTCAGACTTTCTGTCTTATATACTGATACAGATTGTTACACTTTCTATCACGTATACTGGTACAAATATGTCACATTTCCCATCGTATGTTCTAAGGAACTTTCTTCCATGCAACTGTGGAGTCCCATCATGGTACGTTTATCAGTGCGCAGTACAGATAGCGTTGCGCCGTCGCTAATTCCGAACCACCAACTACGGAGAGGCAACCGACTAGCAGTAACCACATTTACTTTATTTTTATTAATTATCATGTAATACTTTTTAAACAACAGAAACCCAATGTATATAAGATGGTTTTAATACAATTAATTCTGCTACTGTTATACTCTTTAGTAGTTTTTGCATCGGCCTCAGCAAAGCCATCCTCCCTCAAAAAAATCTCCTCAATGTTCTTCTCGAATAATGTCCAATTTAAGTAGCATCTTATAAGAAACTATTGTTGTTGTTTGGTAATCAAATAGGTAGTTTATTATAAGAAACTATTGTTGTTGTTTGGTTAATCACATAGGAAGTTTATTATAAGAAACGATTGTTTTTGTTTGATAAGCACATAGGAAGTTTATTATAAGAAACTATTGTTGTTGTTTGGTAATCAAATAGGAAGTTTCTTATAAGAAACTATTGTTGGTGTTTGGTAATCACATAGGACGTTTATTATAAGAAACTATTGTTGTTGTTTGGTAATCAAATAGGAAGTTTCTTATAAAAAAACTATTGTTGTTGTTTGATAGTCACATAGGAAATTTCTTATAAGAAACTATTGTTGTTGTTTGGTAATCAAATAGGAAGTTTATTATAAGAAATTATTGTTGTTGTTTGGTAATCAAATAGGAAGTTTCTTATAAGA